CCCCCCTCTCTCATCTCTTTCCCCTTTCCCTCTCCCCCTTCTCCACCCCTCCAGGTGTGGTATCCGAGGCTCCAGGTCCTTCAGCAGTTCTGGTTATCCTGCAGTGCCACTGTCTACCCCACTTCCCAGTCTCCCAAAGCCCATCTTCGCCACAGTCAGTGGACAACACAAATACGAGACCCGGATCACGGTGTTGGAGAACGGGCTGCGAGTGGCCTCGCAGGACAAGTTTGGACAATTCTGCACTGTTGGAGGTTAGTGCTGGGGAGAGGTGTCAGAATTCAACAGGCCTCCTTACCCCTATCAGACTGTCTGATCCTGGGACTTGTGTTAACCTCCATATGCCCTGACATCACAATAAACCTGCCCTCTGAGCTTTAGCTGTTTATGGGATCTTGTTATGTGCAGTTTGCAGTTGTTGAGAAGTAATTTGTTCAGCTGTGTAGCACTTTGGATTGAATGCCCTGAAAGGACCAAACAGCAGGGATAAATCGAAAATATCTTCACCAATGGAGTACTGCAGTCACGGAGACACCATCTTCCAGTTGAGACGTTAAATCAGGACCGTATCAGTCAGATGTGGAAGATTCCTGACACTATTTTGAAGAATGGGACAGCTCTTGTAGTCTGTTTGTATTTTTAATACTTTATTAGAATCAGTTGTAAGGGAAGCTTGCATTTCTGTGCATGTTGTAGATAGTACACACTGCAACTGTGTTTTGGTGGTGGAGCGAGTGGATGTTTGTGAATGTGGTGTAAATCAAGTGGGCTGCTTTGTCCTGGATGGTGTTGAACTTCTTCAGTCTTGTTGGAGCTGCACCCATCCAGGCAAGTGGGGAGTATTCCAACACACTCCTGACTTTGCCTTATAGATGGTGAACAGGCTTTGGGGAGTGAAGGAGTGGGTTCTGTAGCTTTCTGTACAAGGTGCTGTCCCAGTCAGAAACTGATAAAGGTGCAAACTGTCAATTGGAGCAGAATCTGTTCCCCTCATCGATATCACTACAGAAACTGCGGTGTCAGTGCAAATGCCATGAGCCACCCTCGTGCCATCTTCAGGTGGATTGTTGCTACATGTTGCTGTGGAGCTGCACACTGTCCCCCTACATGGGTGTTCACTGGCTACACGTACACAGACATGAGGAAAACGATCATACCCAGTTATGGAGATAGTAGGAACTGCTGATGCTGGAGTCTGAGATAACAAGGTGTGGAGCTGGATGAACACAGCAGGCCAGGCAGCATCAGAGGAGCAGGAAAGTTGACGTTTCAGGTCTGGACCCTTCTTCAGAAGTTATCCAGTTATGGTTGCTCTGTAAGCTGCCTCTCCACCTCAAGCTCTGTCTTCATTTTCTGTTTGTGCCATTCTTTCTATCCCTGACCTACCAATTCAAGGCATTTGTCTACCTCACCCCTGCTCCCTGGAAACCCCTCCCAAAATTCTCTCGCTGTTCTAGTTTGCTGTCCACATCACACTTTCACCTGACTCTGCTGGTAACACTTGACAGTTTTGCAGATTTATCATGGCCAGATCAGGTGAGATGCTGGTTCAGAGATCTGCTCCTAACGCAATCATGTTCTTCAGTTTTAGCAAATGCAGGATCGAGACACGAGGCGAGATATCCAAGTGGAATCTCCCACTTTATAGAAAAACTGGCCTTTTCGGTAAGTAATGACATATTCCTTCCATTTTGTTTTATCCAGAATCTTAAAAGAGTGGGTCAGCCGCACACGTTTATAAAACAATATGTGCAGATATGGTCTGAAAGTTGACTCATTGTCCAAGTGAAGACAATTAATAATATACTAAGAAATGAAATGATTTTCTTTTTAATTTGAGTTATAATCTGGAACGTGCTGCATGAAAGGACAATGGAAGCTGATTTCAATGGAGATTTTCTAAAGGGAATTGGAAAAATACTTGAAAAGAGAACTTTTCAGAGCTATGGGTAAAGAGGGGGTGGGGGCTGTTGGGCTAACTGTTTGGATCTTTCAAGGGGCATCACAGATACGAAGGGCTGAATGGCCACTTCCTGTGAAGCCATCAGTGGCTGATCTCGACATGATGCCAAACAGTGACCTTGGCTCAGCTGTCACATCACACCATCCAGTGATATGGCACACATGGGGGTGGGGGGATGAGGAGGGAGAGATAACCTCTGGACACGGGGTGAAGGAGGCTGATTGGCTACAATTCAACAAAATCATGACTGACCTCCCTGCTCAGCTGCAGCATCCTGCACGAGCCCATATCCCTTCATCCCTTGGTGCTGTTTCATATAGCTTCCACAAGTGAGCATCCACAGCTCCCTGGGGTCAGGAATTCCAAAGATTTACAACCAAGTGAAGAAATTTCTCCTTTTCTGAATGTGAAGTGGCTGACCCCTTCTCCTGAGAATGTGACCCCCAGCCAAAACAGAGTGGCTTCTCAGTCTCTGTCTTGTCAAGACCCTGAAGATTTTCAGATCTTTCAATGAGAACATTTTCCATTCTTTCAAACAATCTTTGATGGATAGTGATGAGGGCGTGAGAACACTGATTTGTGTTTTGTTTCCCTCCTCCGTAGCCAGTTTCATGAACACTCTTGTCACAGTGACAGGGTTTCAATCTGAGACTTTTCTGGATGGTTTAGTTCAAACTGAGTCTCATCAGAGAACATTGTTGTTAATCCATCATCTCCTATTCTTCTGTACCTTGTTGTCTGACCAGGGCTCACCTGCAGTCAGTTCAGCTGGAAGATTGAGGCTGAGGGAATAATGTTTAAGATTCTTGATGACAGTGGGGTCTTGGGAAGTGGTGTGGGATGTTGTTTGTTTAATTCACGAGCTTTGGAACTGTAATTGGTGTTGTGTTTTTGTCATCAGTCCACTGCACAGTTTGGCTCAAAGGATGAGATCCTGCACACACTGGAGAAACACGGAGGCATCTGTGATTGCCAGTCTTCCAGGTCAGTGTAATGCAGATTGACAGCTGTACTTTGGAACCTTGTCAATTGCTCCTTCAGTGAGTAGCTCTGAGAGCACGTGCTCAGGTGGCGATCATTGAGGGGTTTCTAGGGCCACATCAATTGGAACCGTTCTTCTCGTTTCTTTTCAGTGTGCATGGCCTGTTGGTCTCGGCTGTGTGATTCCTTTAGATCATCTTGTGTGGTCATATGGTATTTTAATTGGGACAGCTTGTGAGTAGCCTGCATGGTATCTTTCAGGTTGATGCTGTATGTGAGTGTGGTTTGCAGAGAATGTTGGTCCCAATGGCAGTCAGAGCTGACCTCAAGTGGCAGAGGGACTGTAGCAGGTGCTGTTGCTGCATGTAGACAGGAGATCGGAAATCACCATATTTCTTTTAAAGATAACAAGGTGTAGAGCTGGATGAACGCAGCAGGCCAAGCAGCATCAGAGGAGCAGGAAGGCTG